GGGCCAACGTTAGCCCTGGCCGCTGCAGACGGGCTAACATTAGCCCTGGCCGCTGCAGACGGGCTAACATTAGCCCTGGCTCGCCTCAAATGATCCTAAAATTGACTTTTATTGAACAACAGCAACAGGAAAGAGAACTTTTAACTTAATACGCTGAGCTCTGTGAGCGCTCCATTGAAAGGAGATGGAGACTCATCCACGATGGAACACACAGACCACCCCGGGTCCCGCTGGGCCACCACCTCATAAATAAATGAATGCAGTTTTATTTCATTTTTACCCATAATTAGCTGCATGACTGTACTTTAATCCTCAGTGCCTGAACTCCGTGAATGACAGATTGTATATGAGAATATAGACATAATTGCAAAATAACTAACTTAATACAATTTTAGACATTTTCTGAAACCATTTTTAAGAGTTAAATGTTGTATTATTACTTAAATGATCATCCATCAAAATAAAGTGAAACTTTCAGCTGCTTCCATTTATTATTGAATCCTTTTTATACCCACTGTACCGCCTGGCTTTGTAATGTAAAGTATTCTGGGGACAAAGATTTTCTTTATACTGTATATATACATTTTAAATCTACTATTAAAATGGAAATGATCCTTTTGTTTTTATAAGTACTGTATTTATTTAAAATAAAAACTATCCGAGGCTTAAAGCATGAAGCGTAAGTGCAGCTCGGTGCCTCACCCTCTTCAGCAGGCGAGCTGAATCGTCACTGATGTGCGTCAGGCGGCTGATGACGTTGTTCAGGTAGAGATCACTCAGAGTGGCGTGGTCCTTGCTTTCTCTCCGCACCTAAAAAAACAACAACAAAGAAAACGTTTAGGTTAAAACTGGTTTGTATTTTTTCTCGTTAATTTTAAAAACATTTGAACTCACTTGGTTTAATAACAAATACCAGCAGTTGACTGGAGAAAGCAGATTCTGGTCCTTTCTGGAATGAAAACCATCATTTAAAAGAAATATATTACAAGAAGAACATTAGATTAAAATATTAAAAATTTCAACAGAAAAAAAAGAGGAAAGGAGCAACTTGACTCTTTAGCTCAAATACTACCAAATACTCCAGGGATGGGGAATACTTTTTATTAAGCTGTCTATACTTTTATCTACAGAAAGACAAACAAGTCTATAAATCCTTTGGAAGCTTATTTTTAGCATGTTCTAAACATGAGGTTTAATATCTGAAACTTTTCACTTAATTTGCTTAATTTAAGGACAAAATAAAGAACAATAACATCATTTTTTCTGTTTCCTTTCAACCAAATCAAATCAGTAAATTGCATCTAGCTGGCATATTTTTGGCAGAATTTATAAAGGATCTTTAGAGCCGTTTATAAACATTGTTGTACTTTTTTCTTTACTATTTTTATGATTTGTAAAACCCTGTTAGTTTCTTTGCACCTCTTGCTGTGAAAAACATTAAAGAACCACCTAAGATCTGAATCTAGAGGAAAGGAGCCAGCTGGTAGTCTACACATGGAAAAAATATAAAACACTCACAGAAAATGTTTTGATTTATTGGAAGATAAATCATGCATCAAATTATACTATATATGAATATATATAATGAAGGTTTCAACACACAAGTTTCCTGCTGCAGCAGAAGGACAGACTGAAACATACTTGTATTGCTGATGATCTTTTGTGCTGCGTGTTTTGGCCATGAACCGCTCTGCAAGCTTCTCCAGGTTTCGGGAATACTCCGTTTCAATCTCGGCCTTCTTCCTGAAGAAGTCCTGCAGGTCCTGAAGCAGCTGGACCCGCATCTCTGTCTGCTGCTCCAGGCAGCGCTGCTGCTCCACCAACTGGGTCCGCACATCTGCACAGACGCACAGACATGAGCCCAGTCAATACCCCCAAGCTGCAGACGCTAAGTGATGTGACAGAAAATATGAGATTTAAATTCATCCTGTGGTTTAATATATGGGCCGATATCAAAGTGTGAATGGTATGCATCAGGCAGTGATATTGCTTTGAGTAACAAACCAGTCAGGGGGCAGAGTGATAAGCACTATCTGGATAAACAACAGAAAGCATGAAAACAATACTGTCTGCTAAAAATGGCTATCCTAAAATCTGATTCACTCTATAGAGCTTTATTTCCTTCAAAAATACGGCTTTAATCCCCAGATCTCCATTCTTTACATGTAGGCCGAGGCTAGTTTGGTCTAAATCATAACCCAAACTCTATATATAGAAAAGAATAGATCAGCCGCCACACCGCTATACTAAACACCCATCAAAGACCATTTATCCCACAAGCTTAAATTCAGATTAAACTGCCAGTTCAAATAAAACATGCGCAGCAATGCACGTTAATTTAATCATTTCTAAAATATTCATGCACATTTTAATTCTGCAGATGGCATAGAATCATGTTCCCTCTAATCAAATATTTGCATGTAATACAAAAAAAAATAAAATTACATTTCAGGGATGAAGACTGATCCAAATCAGCCTTTTATCAGACTAGATTAAAAATCCATAAATAAAAAAACTCCTGATTTTATTAAAGTTTATTTATGTTTTGGACTAGCACAGAAGATTAAGGAAATTAATTACACTGTTTATAATTTTATAATATAGAGAAAAAGGTAAACATATCTAGAATTTGAAGGCAGAGAGTTAAAGTTGAGGTGTCAGGATTGGGTATAAAAGAGGAATCGACAATTAAAAAGTGAGACTATTTTCCTATTTAGGAGATTTTCCTTAGATCACATTTACTGCTCTTATTCAGAGGATACACTGGAAAAACGATCTAGAAATAAGTAAACTGTCTCAGATTAAGTGCATTTACCCTTAACTTTAGTAGGTTAATGAGATGATCTGCCAATGGAATGAGTATTTTTACTCTTAAAATAAGATATTTAGATAAAATGCACTGGAAATAATAAAAATGCAATTGTTTCCCTTATTTAAATGTAAATTGTCTTGTTTCATTGGCAAAATGTCTGTTATACTTTCTCAATTTAAGAACAAATGCACTTATTTTAAGAAAAAAATTACTTATCGAGATTTTGATTTTTTCCAGTGTATGAATACAGAAGAGGATTAGGGCATCTGAAACAAAAAGTTTACTTTATTTTCTTTATTTTATTTGAGTTCAATATGAGAAAAATATGGAAGAGCAAGGCCATTAAAAAAAAAAAAAGTTAACTGATTTTTAAATTTTATTTCAGTTAAATATGGGGAAAATGTCAGAATTTTCACTTTAATCTCAGAATTTTCACTTTTTTTTGCAGAATTTTTAGATTAAAGTCAGAATTCTTACTTTTCCCCCATATTGGGCTAAAATAAAATAAATAAAATAAGTTAACTTTTTTTCCTGTGGCCCTGTTCCTCTTCCGTACATGAACAGGGGGACAGAATGAAAATGCTCTGAAACACTTACAGAGGAAAAACAAACCTACAGCTCATGTAAAAACAATTATTCTTTAAACTTAAGGTATATTAACCTTTTAAGCCCAGAGAGTCTTAGCAGCAAATCCCACCTGAAATTCCATACGTGAATTAAAGCAAGTTCAGCTCCCAAACTATAAATTGGAAATACAGTTGTTTGTGTTTGTATGACAGAAAAGCATTGAGGAAGATTTATCAGGTGGAACCATTATTTTAAATGTCATCATGTCTGATTTATAGGTGATTAAACAAAGAAAAAAATTACACCCTATTCGAACCCTCCAACTTTATAAATCCACATCTTAACTATAAGTCAAGCAAATTTGGACTGAATAAGTTGAAGCTGTTTGTTCCACAAAGGTTTTAGTGGGAAGTGTGCTAGCAGGAAATGTGATGTTGGCACAATGGTGCCAAAAGTGGCCAAATTATGCAAAAATGCTTTTTTTTTCTCCAATACATCGTATTCGATAAACTGATTTCCATTATTGGAGACCTTTTGCATAAAACAAAGCTTTTGCTCCTAAGATTTAGCTGTTATTTCAGTGAAATGTACCAATATTATCACCAAACTGAATATAAACTAAGAATAACAGAGCTAGCTTATGTAACGCTGCTGGCTACATCACCTAAAATGGTCGCACAATGACCTCTGACCTCTCCTTGGAAAGCTCTGAGCCTCTAGTTTCCAATGATGGCTGCCATTAGGGGGCGGGACTAAAAATAAACACCTGCTGTTGCATTATTAGTCACACATTTCAGGTGGAATTTTAAATCTCATTTTATGTGTTTACGCAGCTATAAAGCAAAAAGTATTTGTGAAAAAAAATAAATTTTGAAACATGTTTTAGAAACTTTAAAGTCCCATTTGAAAGGGGTGTGGATGAAACACCATGTGACTGTGTTTTGGTCATTTCTTTAAATAGATAAACATGAGCCGGTCAGCATATGAGGAAAGATTCAGATTTATATAAATGTTTCACGCAAAGTTAATTAATTTTATTTAAAGTATACAACAATAAAAACATTATCACCAAGTAATTAGCATTAACTGGTCGTTAAATCAGCCATTTACTCCACAAAGATACAGATACAGCCAGCGTTGGTATAAATGAATCCCTTGTCTGCGTTTCTCAGTGGGTCATTATGGGGGGGTATGGGTGACGTGTTTAAAAGGGATTCAACATGGCCGCACACTGAACATTTAGTGTTTTAGATTTCCGGAATCCATTATCCAAAAAATCTGAATTCTCAGAATAAAGCCGGAATTCTGACTTTTTGTTCCATGTAAAATTTAAATTAAATAATACATCATTTAACTTTTTTTTTTCCTTTTTTTCTTTTTTCCAGTGGCCCTAATCCTCTACCTAAGACCAAAATTAAATTTAAATGTGGTAAATTTCCCTGAAACCATCTAAAAAAGTACTTAATAAGACGCGAGTAAAATACCAAATAAGGTTTTTCCTTTTTTTTCTGCAGAAGGATCTAATTAATAGCATTAAGAGGAGCGATAGAAATAAAATAATTGATTTTTAATTAACTGGAAGTCCTGTCTATGCTTTGAATGCATAATTTTCTCCTGCTGGGATTAAAAACAATATTCTATCAGAACTAATGTAATGCCTTCGTTTTTTATTTCTTATGACTGAGAGGATCACAAAGGACCTTTACGAAGCGGTTTTATTATTTTCGGATAAAAAAGGTCCAGATAAGTCAACACCATCCAATCTAAAATGCACATCTGGCTGTAAAAGGACTCAATGCGGTTAATTTAATGCTTAATTATTGAAAATCAGATTAAACAGACAAGGTACTTCATCATTAAAATGCATAGGTGGTTTCCTCTTCCTCCTTACAGATGAAGGCTGTCCATTTTCTTCTCTAAGGAGTCACCTTGGACTTAATCGTGTGACCGAAATGAAAAAGCAGCAGAGAATCACACACTGCTGGTAGTCAGCATGGTAAAGCCTGGCTGCACGCTTCACTGATTCACTGTGTTTCAGCGCTCGATCTTTCTGCAGCAAACCAGAGAGAGAGAGAGAGCTCAGAGCACAACAGCAACTCCGCCTCTCTCTTTTTCACACACAGACAAACCGACACACAGCAATCCCCAGAGAGCCTATCCACTCCACTACCTGTTGTCTTGGTAACCACACACAGTGTGTGAACCATGTGATGAGGAAGGTGAGGAGCTTGCAGTTGCACCATGGACTCTTGAACAGACAGCTTGTCGAGCACGCCTTCCAGATCTCTGTGGAAAACTGCACAGTCTATAAAAACTCCGTTGCTGGATGCGACTGTGTGTCTGTTTATTGATTCTGGCATCATTTCGCTTTTCTTTGCTTAGTAAATTAAAATGGCTGCCATCTTATGATGCTTGCAGACAGTAGAGTTTGAAGGGATGCTGCAACATTTTCGTATAAATAAATAAACTGCAGCTGAAAATGAGGATTTTTTTTATGTTAGGACAACTTTATTGGTTTAAAGATGCCATTCAGTCCCGACATGAATTATCCTTTTTATTAAGCTCTTTATTTGCTTATGTTAGGTTTATTATTTATACATCATGTTCTTTGTTATTCTGTTAGCCAGATTAGAGAGAGTAGAAGGCCTTCCTTCACATGGTGGATGTCACTGTGTGTACGGAGGTCATCAAATAGGACAGCCTTCGTGTCTTTAAAAATACGCAGGATATGGGAACATCTTGGAGCCGGTCTGATAGAGGAGAGCTATCTGTAATCCTGAGGCATAGAAGCAAGATGCATGAAGTTCAAGACATGGATGGCGTGTCAGTTTCTGATACGGCCAGCTCAACATCAACATGATGCAACTAGGGCTGCAACAACGAATCGATAAAATCGATAAAAAAATCGACTTTTAA